GGTAATATCCGAAGGGGAGTCAGCGGATAGGGTCGATGTACGCGCCGCGTACTCGAATGAAGGGCCTCGGATCGTCCACGTCGCCCTATGCGAAGCTACCGACCCGTCCCATCCGACCCGTCCCGTCCGAAGTGCGTAAGCGATGACGCACGGGTACGCGCTGCGTACGCCCGTACGCCCCGCGTACGGAGGCAATTCAGCCCCCTATAAAAGGGATGCAAGCCTTTCCGAAAAATTTGCTCATTTCCTCTCTTTCTCTCACGATCTTGCCTCGATTTCCGTGCCTGTTCAATCCCGAAGCTCTGGTCTTTTTGCTCAAGTCCCGAGGGTCGATTTTACTCCCGAGATTCTCGAGAATCCCGAGAAAAATCCGTTTCCCGAGACGAAACTCTCCCCGGTTTTCGATCTCGCTATCTTCAAACTTCCAAGTTAGTTCATACCCCTTAATTAATGTTTTAAACTACTTTTAAATGTTTCATGGGGGGGGATACAAGTAGAATCATGCTAGGATTATATCAATCGCATGCGATTAATAAGTAGAATTACGCTAGTTATTACATCAATCACATGTGATTAATATACAGCATTCAAAAGATTGGCTACTCATTAGCCGTCTTTCCGAACAGTTTCCTTCAAATGACTTTTTACAAACATTTTATATGTTTTAAACTCCTTTTTACACTGTACAGCTTACTCCGTACATTACCTTTCAAACTTAGTTACAACTGTGTTTCAAACAAATGTTTCCTTATAGTTAAACTGTTTTATTAAACTTATGCCTTCAAATTGTTTTATAGATTGACATCAAGTCGATCTTTCCTTAAAATAATACTTATATTTCAAATATCTTACAAAACTTATTTATGCTTTTATATTATTGCATGCCTCTATATGTATAATTATATAAGAAATGTTTAAAAGACTTAGGAAGGCTATCCACCCTATTTCCTTTTCACGCCTTGAGATGTGGTCTGGTGGGATATTGGGTATTTGTCCAAAAGTCGTTTAAATATTAGTTATATATCATGTGTACATATATAGTCATAAAAGGTCTTTCCAGTTCATCCCAGGCCCTTAGTTAGTAAGGGTATACATACATGACCATACGTACCAGTTAGACTGCTAGTAAACTACCATATGGGTAGTTTAGGAAGATGCTAGAACGCGATATCATACAATGAGTCAGTTCATTCATGAGTCAATACTTTCTAGAACATTACATATACAACTATACTAGAACAAGAAACATTACCCTTACATTAATACGTTAACGATTGTGATCCACTGTATCGGAGCATGCCTTAAATTTCATGGCCCGAGTTGTAGCCAGAATTCTCTTGGAGGGAGAGCATTGAGTTTGCGTATAGATCTATACTGGATTGACTATCCTACACCTTGCTGCTAGCTACAGTGGGACCGACAGGTCTGCGGGTGCCAAACGTCATAACTTATTTTTCGACTATACGTTGTCGTTGTTACCAGTCGATAGTATGGTGCAATTTATCACATGATACCTTAATATAAATCCGGTTTAAGGTAGTTAGTACGGCAGTAGTTCCTATAAAACAAAACTACAGTACTACAATGATTTACCCATTACATTTTTAGTGATAACCTCACTTAAACTTTAATGTACAAACTATATTTTATTAAAAGATAGTTACACTTGGGTAAATTACACACTTTTACGACAAATGAGTATGCAAAACAGTTAAGCCTTGGTAGAAGGCTACTTTAATAGAAAATATAGGTTTTTCTGAGAGATTCAAACTTCTACAAAGACTTACAAACCTTTACATACCTTTTACAAACTTATGCTTGATACATGTTCAAACATTTTTGGATGACAAATACCGACACTAAAATACTTATGAACTCACCAGCTTAATCCTGATAAACTCTTTCAAAATAACTTGTATTCTCAGGTTATCAGTAGATAGGTACCGAGGCCAACTTTTGAGAAGATGGAGCGTATCCAAGACTCATCTTATTATTTTGATTTACGTTATTTTTGGTGTCTATAATGTACAGATGACGCTTGTATTAAAATTTTATATTTAATGCAATGGATGATGTTGTTTGCTTATTTACATTTACTGTGTTGTGATACGTTACATGACGTCCTCCGCCCCAGAACGTTTCCGCCGTTCTCGGTTTTGGGGTGTGACAGTAAAGATCGTGGCCCTAAGAATTAAACTTTTAATTTTATCCGATAAGAAATCCAATTTTTTATTTTAGTTTAAAAATACCATCGATTACGATTTTTATTGATTAAAATGACAACGAACATTGTAGTTATCCTTGCAATATCTAATTAAAAGCCTCATATAATCATTTTCTCAAACCATGTCGATAACTAGTAACAACGTCATATTGTTTGGAACATTATAATTTTAATCGGTAAAAATCTATATATTTGAAGTTGTGGTTTGAGAAAAATAACTATAATATGCTATTAGTTAAAAGTAGAAGGATAATGATAGTATTTATTGTCATTTTAATATATAAAAATCGTAATCATTAATATTTTAAACCAAAACTAAAAATTAATTTCTTATTACATATAGTTAAAAATTTAGTAACTTAAAAACATAATATATATTTCTTATGTAAAAACATCATTTACATCTTTATAAACACACGATCTTCGACCCTTAACTTTATTTGTTTATACTATAACTATAATTTTAATATAAAAGACAATATAAACACTAAAATATTTCAACCCATTATAATATATTTAACACTAAAACACTAAAATCTAATACTATAAATAGTTTTAGTTTGAAATATTATAATGTAACTAGGTGTGACACCCATGTATTACATGGGTTTAACTAAAAAAAATGAAATTTTAATAATTTGAATAGTTTGAATTTATAAGAAAAATAAGAAATATTTTGAATTATTAAAATTAATAAGACTTTAATGTATTGAATACATTACATATATAAACCATTTTTAATAAATACTTTACATATATATTAGCTTACATATTAAATGTGGAATTTTAATTTAATAAAATGAAAAATACAATAAAATGATAAGTGGAAAATAAAAAATTTGAAAATTCTAGAAAATATCATGTATCCAAATGAATGAAAAAATAACATGTAGCAAAAAACCTTTATTTATTGTAGTAGATTTATAGTATCCTTCATTAAAATCAAGTATATTGACGTGTCATTTCAACAGCTGTCAAGTGTGGATACGTCAAATTTGTGGATTCCTCGTCACATTGTTGCAACTTGTACTTGTAGTGGCAATGTATCATCCAATAACATTCTGCCACCGTCTGTCAATAGAAACTATTACATTTCTAACTTCATCACTTTAGTTTTATTTTTTTTTTAGGAAACTGGCCACATGAATTTCTCTGGATCCCCCTTCTTGAGTCATTTTTGAAAAGATTATATCACAAAAGGACACTTCCTTTTTTATTTCTTTTGTTTTCTACCCAGACAATATCACACACCATCTGTCGCTACGCAATACAACAAACTTTTAAATAAATATTATTTTATTAATAAAAAAAGAGAATTCAAAATTGTCATCTATAAAATCTAAACTATTTTCTTTTTCTTGAAGATAATATTCCACACACAATTCTATCCAGTATCTTTCTGATGGCTACAATTTCCTAGGGCTATAGGGCCTATTCATGTGTTTATGTTTGTGGTAGGAAATGCGAAACATTAAATTTAGCGGAATTTAATGTGTTGTTAAATTGACAGACTTTTAATCATACCTATGAACATTTTTATTAAGGGTCCAGCTATTTGTGGATCCTTTTTATATTTTTAAAAAACCTCGTAATAATTATTTTAATTTTTTTTTCTAAAATAAACAAATTATCAAAAAATAATTATCTTATTATTAATTACCATTATATAATATTAAACCCCTCATAATTGTTTTATATTTTACTTTAAATATAACTAATTATTACATTATACAAGAGTTCAATATAAAGATTTGTTTATAGAAAAAAAAGTATTAAACTAAAATATATATTTATTTTTTTTTCAAATCTATAAAATAAAATATTTTAAATAAAAAAATTTAATTATTTATTCTGTTTTTAAATTGACAACTTTTAATCATACCTATGAACATTTTTATTAAGGGTCCAACTATTTGGATTATTTTTATATTCTTAAAAGACTCTCTAATAATTATTCTAATTTTTTTTTTTAAAATAAACTAATCATTACAAAATAATTATATTTTTATTGATTACCATTACATAATATTAGATCGTCATTATTTTATATTTTATTTTAAATAAAACTAATCATTACATAATAAAATGGTTCAATATAAAGATTTGTTTATAGAAAAAAAACTATATCATTTTTATTAAAAAGTATTAAAATAAAAATATTTTTATTTTTTTCAAATCTATAAAATAAAATATTTTAAATAAAAAATTTTAATTATTTTTTCTTTTTTAAATAAAAGGGAAGAATGAGATTTTTGATGTGTGTGTAGATTTTTATTTCAAATTGGTATATGTTTGTGTATCTACATGAAACAATGGTCGCTATAGATATATATACTGTCACTACATTTTCTGTTAATAATACTTAGTTTTCATTTAAATATTTAATATCATTTTATTTTTATTTCTTGGTTTATAAAAATATTAAAATATAGAAAATAATAAAATATATAGAAAACGTTGACACGTTGTATTATTATTTAATTATAAAAGAATAATATATATATATATATATATATATATATATATATTAAATAAAAAGTTAATAGTAATTAAAAATAAGTACGAGTTTCTAAAAAAAAACTTTTACTAATCATACAAGCTATTGATATTATAAATACACAAAAATTTGTATCTAAAAAATCATTAATGAGAGGGTCACCTAAACAAATCTGGGGTCCAATTAGTAGGACCCCTTTATTAAAAGTCAATTGATAATAAACGATTTATAACTTCTTTTTTTGATAAATTGTCTTTTTAATAAAGAACATTACTAAAAATGTGGCAGAGTGTCCACAAGAAGAAACTGTGGAATGACAAGATTGTACCATACAATGTTGAAAACATGGTATCTGATAATGTTGAAGAGTGTCCACAAGAAGAAACTGTGGCAGTGAATATGGTAGAAGAAACCGTGGCAGTGAATACGGTGGAAGAAGAATTTTATATGAGTTTAGAAGACTACGTAACAAAACTTTGTCAGGTGATGAAGAGTTAAATGAAGGCTTGTCAGAAGTTAAGTTCAAATATGGAAAAAAAAAGCTTCAAATATATTTTACGGTATGCCTTCGATACCTAATTGTCCTGATCCTATTGTTGAACCTAGAGCATTTCACAATTTAGGTCCAAATTGTTGGGTTTTGAGCATTCTAACAATCCTAAGTGTACATGCAACCCTAAATACATTGGATCTATGTTTTCTCTATTATACATGCAAATATGAACTTTCCAAGGTACTCATCCTAACTAGCATAATAACATTGATTCATATGAATATATCCAGTTAGAATTACATACCTCTTTGATGTAGAATGTCTTCATGAAGCTTGAGTGCCTAGTGCCCCAAATGTGACACCCCAAATGGTTCACACAACACCAAATACACTTGGAATAGATTAGAGAGAAATCCACACTTCATAAAAATCAGCTAGCCCTTTTACTCACACATAGTGGCCGATTTTGTCAACAATAAGATGCTTATATAGTTAGTGACAATTAGGGTAAACCCTAATTGTCATGGCTTTCCATTTCCTTGGATCCATGGGTTCAAATATACCATGGAACATCCATGGAGCATTATCCCAACTTGATAATCCATAAAGCATTAGCCCACTATACAAGTATGGATGATTTACACAATCAACCCATATATTTAATTAGTCTTCTTTTGATCACTTAATTAATCCTAGATTAATTCTTGATCAATACTAATTAAATAATCTTATTAATATATTAGAACTTATAATATATTAACAAAATTTAAGTGTTATTTCTCTCATTATAGTCTATCCAAATGCATGATGCCATGCAACCCAAATGGACCATGATGGGTCGGGTCAAGTCTTACCAATCATAGTGATGGACTTAGACATTAATCCAACACAAATGATGATATGTTTGTAAACCAAACGTATGATAACAAGTAAAAACTAATATTTTCTTTAAGTCTAAAATCAATTAGAGAGAATTTTTAGTTTAAGACCAAACATTCTAAAAAACCGTTACGAGGTATATTGTGAGATTGAGAACTCTAGTTGGCGTTTATATGTAAAATGCATTGATTCGATTGATGAATTTGAAATAAGAACTTTCAACAACGTGCAAACATGTTCGTCATTATAGATATACCCAAATCATAAGCACACAAATAACAAAGGCATGGGTACTATATTGCATGAGATTATAGGAAAAACTTGTTCGAAGGTTTGGAGGCCTAATGAAATATCAAGGGTTTTGAATGCTTTGCTAAAAATCAATGTAAGTTACAAACAAGCATAGCGTGGAAAACAATATGCTATGTAACTTTTGTTGGGACCCTCTGAAGAATGTTTTTCCAAACTTCCTATTTATTTTCACAATTTGAAGAAGCATAATCCAAGTATAGTGGTCTATATACAAATAGATTTTGAAGATTGTTTCGAGTGTTGTTTTATGCCATTGGGAACACGGTAAATACACAAAACGTGTTGTTATTTAATATATACTTATTTGTAAAAAAACGTAGAGTGTTTATATGTTCCATTTTAATATATTGCAGATACGAGCGTTCAAACGTTTTTGTCGTAAAGTCATAACTGTGGATGGTGCCTATTTGAAGGGGGATTTTAAGGAACCGTATTGATTGCAGTAGATATGGATAGGAACAACCAGATAGTGCCCCTTACACAAGGAATATGCAAAAAAAGAGTGGTCTTACTTGGACATGGTTTCTTGAAAAGTCGTATGAATATGTTGGTGATTGTTAATATTTAACCTTTGTAATTGATAGGGACGATGCAATTCGGGTTAGTAATGGAAATGTTTTCCCACACGCTCATCATGACATGTGTATTGGATCAAGTGTCTAAGCCCATAACTATAATTGATATGTACTTGAATTGCTAGAAGCCATGTCCTTTTGGGTTGCCTTCAAACATGGCAATGGAATAGGATAATTGTTGGAGAGAGAAGAATGATTTATTAATTTATTACCTGGTTAATAAATTAATTTGAAATCAAGATTAATGATTTATTAATGTATTATGGATATAATATATTGATTATAAATCATATTGTTTAATTAATATTTAATTAGAAATTAATTTGGAATTAATTTTAGGATTAAAGGAATTAATTAAAACTGCAGGGACTAAAGGTGACAATGTTCAAAAGTTGAGCATTGAAGCATTCTAGAACCTCCCTTAGAGGTAGGGAACGAAATCTAGAGTGTCCTAGGGTTTCCTTGGGCTCTAAGGGTGCCTTGGAAGCCTTAGGGAGGAAGTTAAGGGATTAGGGTTATCTAAGATACACCTGCCTTATCCGAAACCTTCCTTATCACCTATATAAACCCCTATAGGCTTGGATTTCATCTAAGGCACTCCAAGAGAGGCGTAGATCCAAATTTTCCACTTCCCTTCTCTCTCGATAGTAATCCTTGGTTGCTAGGTTTTTTTGTGTGACATCCCAAATTTCACGGCCAGAAAAGACCGATTTTATTTATGCTTGTTTAAAAATCATAGTAATATTTTACATAAAAGTGTTGCGGAATTTATTCCCAAAATAAAAATATGATAAAGACTTATCAAAGCATTTCCGTAGAAATGCATTTCATTAAAAAGACTCGTGATGTAATATTTGATACATATCAAAAGCATAAACAATACATTATAAGCGTAACAACAGTTATTTAGAACTAATGGCCTATAATCCAAAAATCCCTCATCATCATCCAAATGATGCTCTGGGTCCACTACCTATAAAACAGAAAGCTGAGTGGGTCAAACTTGAGAGTCTGGTGAGCATATAAGGTTTTCAACCCACAAATAATAATAAATTTATTAATTTCATCGATGAACCATAAATTTACTAATTTTATCAAACCAACAATAACCCTGATTACCCATTCCCGTTATCCTCACTTTACGTCCCTAAACACCTACACAAGGGACCTAGTATAAGGATTTTATCATCGGGATGGACTTTACTGCTAAGGGGATTCCTTAGCCATATACCGTAAGGCAACCATGAGGGGGATGGAGTACACCTGTGAACATCAAACCCATAAACACCTACAGGTTGCGAGCCTACTAGCGTTCCACTAGACCATCTAGAAGAGTTCGTGGTCGTCATCCATACTCCGCTAGATGAATGGAATAACAACAACATCGAGGCATCTCATCATTTTAACACACATCAACTATTTCATCTACCCATGTTATACCCAACATATTTGTAGATAAAAATACATATACAGTTTATAACTTGTATAAAACATTTATTCAATAGTCATCTCAAATAAACAATCAATATAATTACACATAACACGTATTTTATAGAAAATACTTCATATCTATGTGTAAGATGAAAGTGACTATACACTCACTTGATTTGATGATAATCGGGCAGCAATTCGTTCCTTAAAATGATTGTTTCTGATAAAACCGGGAGTTTTATTGAGAAACCGGACTCTGCGAGGGTTGGAGCTTCAAAACCAAAAACATAAAATTTTCCGTGTCTTGGGCACTTCGGGACGTATTCCGGTCTTTAAAAATGATATCGGGGATTCGGGGGAAGTCAAAATATAAGTTTAGGGATGAAAAATGTCAGTTTTTGCAAAAGTACCCGGGAAGGCTCGCAGCCACCCCTTTATATAGGGCCAAGGGCTCGGACCTTGTGGCTGAGAAGGGTCCACGTAGTGGTTGCGACGCTCAGACACAGAGGCTGAGGACGTGGCAGAAAAGGGGCGAGGCGCGTGGCAGCAGCGAGGTCAGGTGGCAGCAGGTGCGAAGGCCACGCTGCTCGTGCGAGGTTCGGATGCTAAGGGCGTGTCGGAGGCTGGTAGGCGAGACGTGGCCGCTTCGGACTCTTCCAAGGATGCGACACGCGCTTGATCTCGGCTGGACCTCCCTTCGGTCGTATTACAATCCGACACACGTCATTCATGTGAGGCTTGTACGTGGCCAAATCCGAGCCATGCATGCGCAATTCCTCGGATTTTGCACCCAAAACTTCTAAAATTCATAACTTTCACATACGAGCTCCGTTTTTGACGTTCTTTATATGCAAGCATAGGCGGGAATATATTCTACAACTTTCATTTAGACTTCATCGGCTAATTTTGAATTTAATTTTAATATTATTATTTTTAACAGACCGCGACAGGAAAACCGTTAAAAATTCATAACTTCTTCATCCGACGTCCATTTTCGTCAGTCTTTTTACTGTTGTACTACTATTGACGAGACCTTCGATTCTTGTTTAGGTTGTGTTGGCTAAATATCGCTCGATCTTAAATTCGAGTATTTAGTTGTCTACTGCTAAGCTAAAACTTAGAAAAATCATAACTTCCTCATACGAAGTCAGATTTGGACGTTCTTTTTTATCAAAATCCTCGGATTAACGAATAATATGACTTTTGTTTAGATTGTTAAGGCTAAAAATCACTTTATCATAAATTCACTTTTTATGCTTCCCGGTGTCGTGCAGGTTCCGTCGCGAAACTTCGACAGGTCATAACTTCCTTGTTATAACTCGGATTTCGGCGTTCTTTATATCTCCAGAATCCTTGTTTCGGCCACTACAACTTTCTTAAAAGATATCGGCTTTTTCTAATATTTATTTTCAAAGCTTATTTTCATTATTAATTAATTAAATCATAATAATTAAGCAAATAAGCATATAATTCACATGATATTCATATAATTCCTCTTTATTACTTCAAAATGAGTTATAAAGGTTGACCTAGACTATTACAACGTTATTAATGCTTTTAGCCCAGAAACACGGGCGTTAAAATTCTCTCCCCCTTAGGATGATTCCATCCACGTAATCACACATCAGCAAACAAATGCGGGTAGCGACTCATCATGTCACTTTCCGTTTCCCAGGTGAGATTTGGCCCATTCGTATGTTTCCATTACACAAGCACTAAATCGACCATCTTGCGTCCCAACTTTTTAGTCTTACGGTCAACGATTGCCTCTGATTCTTCGATTAACCTCTTGCTTTCATCCCGCCTTAACTCAAATATTGGAATTATGTTGGGAACATCTCCCGTGAACTTCCATAAATAACACACATGGAAAGTGTTATGAATACCATCTAGTTATTCTGGTAGTTCTAGCTTGTAAGCTTGATTCCCAATCCTCTGAAGAAGTTTAAATGGTCCAATAAACCTTGGACTCAACTTTCCCCTTTTACCAAATCTTATAAGTCCCTTCCACAGTGAGACTTTAAGCAAAACCGAATCACCAACTTCGAATGTTATCGGTTTTCTTTTCTTGTCAGCATAGCTCTTTTGACGATCCTGAGCTGCTAACATCCTTTCCGTAATCACTTTCAACTTTTCAGCAGTCTGATGGACTATCTCAGGTCCCATAAACTGCTTTTCTCCAGCTTCAAGCCAAAAAGATGGCGTACGATGCTTCTGTCCATACAAAGTGTGATAAGGTGCCATCTTTATGCTCGAGTGGAAACTATTATTGTAGGAGAATTCTACTAAAGGTAAATGTTCATCCCAGTTACCTTGGAATTCCATGGTACATGCTCTCAGCATATCTTTAAGGGTTTGTATTGTTCTTTCGCTCTAACCATCAGTTTGTGGATGGTAAGTTGTACTTAAACACAACTTGGTACCCATTTCCTCTTGTAGACTTTTCCAAAATCGTGACGTGAAACGACTATCACGATCTGATACAATTGTTAGAGGAATATCGTGAAGTCTCACAATTTCCTTCACGTTAGAATTCGCAAGCTTATCCATAGACCATTTTTCATTGGCTACCATGAAGTGTGCACTCTTGGTGAAATGATCCACGACCACCCAAATCATGTCGTGACCACTCTTTGTTCTGGGTAGTTTAGTCACAAAATCCATGGTGATGTCTTCCCATTTACCCATGGGTACAGGTAAAGGTTCTAAACTCCCATACGGTTTTTGATGTTGTGCCTTGACTCTTGCACATGTCACACACTCGCCCACATACTTAGCAACATCGAGCTTCATCGTTGGCCACCAGTAATATGGTTTTAAATCCCTATACATTTTCGTACTGCTGGGATGAATCGAGTACATGATCTTGTGAGCTTCTTCCATCTGAACATCTCTTACTCCTCCCATCTTAGGTACCCAAATCCTATCTTGGAATACCTTCAACCCTTGGTTGTTTGTACCGACTACTAATGTTTTGCCCAAGCATTCTTCTTTTCGGTCATTCTTCTCTAAAGCTTCTTCCTGAGCTTTATTTATACTCTCCACAATTGTTGAGACAACCTCAATTCTCAACGCTCTTGGCCTTTTCTTTTCAAGGTTGACTTTCCGACTGAGAGCATCAGCAACAACATTTGCTTTACCAGGGTGATAAAGTATCTCACAGTTGTAGTCCTTGAGTTATTCCAACCAGCGTCGTTGCCTCATATTCAATTCATTATGATTAAAGAGATATTGGAGACTCTTATGATCAATGAAAAGTTTGCACTTCGTGCCATAGAGGTAATGTCTCCATATTTTTACAGCGAAAACTACCGCTGCCAACTCCGAATCATGATTAGGGTAGTTCTTTTCATGCTCCTTCTTTTGTCTTGATGCATATGCTATCACTTTATCTCGTTGGGTCAAAACACAACCTAACCCAACTCCTGATG